ACAAGATATTAATGTGTATGAATTTGATGAATCAGGTGTTCAACAAGCTCTGCAAATATATTTTATACATAATGATCACGGTATTAGATGAGAAGATTCATGACGGCATTTAAAACAACTTGGCAGTTGAGTAGGGATTACATAAGGAGCATGAGACAATGATGAATTATTCATATCTTCATCCTACTACTTCGTCAGTTAATAATTATCCTTGTTCTGATCCAAATTCTTATCCACCATATAATTCATCATTGTCTGATGCTCCTCATGTAATCCCTACTCACCTGCCAAGTTGTTTTAAATGCCGCTATGAATGATTTCCTCAATGATTTTTAAATATAAAGCTTTTATCAATTCACTTCATTCTTTGCTAAAAGTGATCTGAATTTCATGACGGCATCTTCAGGTCATTGAATCAAATGCTGCATACAATTACACAATTATTACAGCCACCACCTCAATTGGACTGTCAAAAATCAGGTACAAAAATGTGCTAAAATTCAGCAAAACTAAATTGATTAGTACTAATTAACGCTAATGAATTTTACGAGAATTTTTACATGACTCGATACCCAGAACTCACTGCTATTGACCTGTAAAATATCGCTTTTCTCGGATAAAAATTGAGCGAACTATAGCAGAAATATACGGCCCGTAAACGGTATCGTTTCTGGGCACAGTAATACGGGGTCGTATGCTGTGAAAATACGACCCTATTTTAATGATGTTATGGTCCGTATTCATGCGTCCAGTAGACGGTCCGTAACGGATATCCGTTTTGGTCGACCTGGGTGGGTAATGATCTAAAAATGGCTCATTAATGTCTGAGCGATGACACAGAAATAGTCATTATCGAATGATCATTTTTACCTAGCAAAAAAACGCTCTACATTATGACCGAATAATGATACCGTTTATGGGATAAAAATGACCATTAATGACCAAAAAATGGCCAATTGACTGACAATTAATGAGCCATAAATGAGCCATTTTTTTTACCTCGTTTTCATTGTCCTGACCGGGACACGTCAGATGAATTTGCCTAAGTTACAATACATACAGAAATTCGTATAAAAAAACATATTTAGACTAATTTAATTTCAAAAACAAACTCATCGATAATAAACTAATAAATCTTGTAACTTATTAATTAATAATTTTTATCAATTAATTGATAAGCGGTCGTCTTTGATGCACAGGGGATTGGGCGCAAATGCATTGCGACTTACCACGAAAACATATTCAAAACCAGTAGTTAAGAAGGAAATAAAGCGTTGATAGCGACATCTCTAATCTTCGGTTGTCTCGCGCGGTTTGTTCTTCTGATAAGCAATAACTCATTAAAAACGCAGTTCTCCTTTTCTCTAAATAACTTCAAAGAGTTTTACTTCTTCAAATCCAAAGAGACACTTTGCAACGTGTTGATTAGCTTGACGAAAGAGTCAATCATAATTTGTGATTTCTGTTTTATTTATTATATAAGGAAGAGTCAAAGGAGTGCTTGAAGCTACGTTCCATACTAAAAGGGAAAGATGACCATTTCTCATGCTAGCTGGAGAATGTGTAACTATGAAAAAATCTTCTTTAGTGCAAGACACAGGATTAGGTGATTCGTATTTTCAGCCGTGTTTTCTACTATGCGACACTATAAGAAGAAGGCTTTTAAAAAAACAAAGTGCATCTGACTAAACGAAGCTTTTTTAAAAGATATAATTATATTGTTTGTTATGCTAGATCGTTGACTGATTCTAAATAAAAAAATGAGTAATCTTACTTGTTGACTCGCTCGTCTTTGATGGCGACGAGGTTAAGAAAAGCACTATTTACACTGCTACTTTATTTATACTACTTTATGCTGACTGTTTCTTCATAGGGAAATAACGCTGAAGATTTCTACTGATAGCTGTGGAAGAATATCATACGTACAATTTGGTTTTTGTATCAACAGTCTGTTTTAACTTGAAGAAAGAACAAATTATACTGTGTATGATATAAAATGTAGATTTGCAGTTTGCTCTTTTGGAGGATCGTTGATCGTCGCCGAAAATTAGATAGATCTAACTTATGTACAGTTATTTTAGATCTAAGTTTTTATTTCAATTTTTAAAACTCTTTTTAAAATACATGACAAGGCTGTTCGTTCTACTCTTTTGTGCATCTTCCTCTTCCTTTTACATTGTATCTGTCAAAATAGTATGTACAATTCTGTATGTTACATCAGTTAGTTTTCTACTATACTGCTGATGAGTCGGTTTTTTTCGGAAAGCTTTACAAATAAAATGAATGAAGATTCAAACAATCATTTGAACACATTCTTGAATAAAATCGTGCCATTTTCAGAAATTAACAGGTTTGATATGTATTACTATAACAATAATACAATGACATATTTGTATTTTTTTAAAATAAATGAGGCATTTCAACTCACACGGACACATAGAATAGCTTTATCATGTTGCGTGTAACATTCGTAAGACAAAGTACTTCTTCGCTTTTTGCGTTTCTCTCATTACTTCTGGAAAAATGATATCTTGAAAATTCACTTATTTTCTTCGGTAAAAATAGCAGACTTGAACATTGTTTTGCACGACAGAAATATTTTTGAAGAAAAGTGTGGGAACAAAAATTGATCAACATCAAATTCTATATGAGATAAGCAAGGAAATTCTCAAAATTCCTAAAAGTTGCGTTTTAAACTCAAAAATACTGTTTTTATGTTTGATTATTAAGACTACGTATTTCTGTCACAAGTTCTGTCTAGGATGAGCGATTGTGTGCGTGTTTGAAATGGTTTTGTTGTCATCTTCAAAAGGGAAACCAAATGATGCTGATATTGTCGTTTACCTTGTCGGAATGTCTGAATGTGTCTACATTCATATTAATAAGCGAGTTTGAAATCCTCTTGAAAAATGACATGAAAAAAGCAATGAAGGCATGTATTTTGTACATATTTTCATTCTCCATAGCTCATTTCCCATTTTTAGATACAACAAAAATAAAAACAAATAGTCATGATAAAGAATCGATATCTGACAATGCAAACCGAGATGAAACGGAGAACAATAGGATCTCCAATTTTAGTAGCGAAAACGATCTATCACACGGTATTTAGCAAAGATTTTATAAACTATTATTGATAAATCACAAAAAAAAATCAATCACATTCGATATATCACACATTATCTAAACATCATGAAATATGATCAAAATGAAGATCAACCATCGTTTCATCATACGTGTCGAAGATTTTAGAGTTATTTACCGAAAAATATGTTAGTGAACAACACAGTAGTAAAGTATTAAGTATTAAAACATGTTAAAGATGAAGTGTATGAAGTTCGTCGTCAGTATTTAAAATTAATTAAAATACATAAAAATCTTAATGTTAGTCAGATAAATATTCTATGTTCATTTTTCTGTCATTCATGAGTAGTATAATGTTTGTTGTCTTAAATAAAAAGATATGCTTGAATTATTTTTATTCAAAGACTATTGTTACAAAATCAAATGTGCAAAAACAGACAAGATATTTTCATCTAAATATTATCAACAAAAAAAAGCTGGATTAAAAGCTAGAATCTTCTCATTGACATTTAAGTACTTCTCCTTTATTGTTTACTTATAGATGTTTACAAAATATTTATTGTCTCTAATCCAAAACTCAAAATCATTTATAAAACTTTATCCATTATCTCAGTGTCGATATCTAGTCAATGCACAAATATCCTCAGCCGCTCCTGTATGATCTTGAAATGTTCATTACTTTTTGCTAATTCATTATTAACATTTTTCATGTTTAGATTCGTGAACATTTGAATATTGAACGTCCTGTTATTGAGAAAACAGAAAATTCTGATTTGTTATATAAACGTTTGAATTTTGAAATTCGTGGACATGATCCACAAGTATTAGAAAGCTATGAAAAATTTATTCGATTAGTTACGCAAGAATTGCAATTACAATTATTAAATGTGTACGTCTTTACTTGGACTTTCCACTTCTCAAAATTTTTCCTCATGCTTTGTCACTTTAAAAAGTAAATCAACTTCATCATATTCTGAAGATTTTAGATTTCTAGCTAAACGAACCACTGGTTTTAACATAAGAGCCATTGTGCTAAAGATACAACCGTTTGTTGTATAAGTTTCTTGATCGATATCCGATCTTTTCACTCAAATTTTGCCAGTAAATAGGACAACATATTTAGAAAGATTCGCAGAATTTTTTGACCAAGATTTACTCCTTGAAAAGTTATGAAACTTTTCAAGGATAGCAGATTCACCTTTTTGGAAACCGTTTTAACAAATTCGCTAAAAGTTGAAGTTGAATCTGGCATGTATGTACTACGTTCAGATTTCCATACTGCCGAGATGAGTAGATTCTAACGCTCGTATTCTGAAAGATATCAGAGGAGAAAATCAAGTTTTGATTGAAGTTACAGCTGCAAGTAGGACGTCTAAAATCTACGTTCTAGAGCGAGATATAAACAAGACAAATTACAGTTTTATTATAATTATCATTTTTGGGTTTTCACCAATAATTGCATAACTTTTGAACTGGTAAACTTTTGAATTTGGTCAAAAAATGTTAGAAGTCTTTCTAAATTATGTTGTCAATACATACTGCGAATGTTTGCGCAAAAAACTCGGACAACTTGGATAACATCTTTCGTACAATTGATTGATAATCAGGTGGGGAGAATCAAATTACATATACTTTGAAGTTTTGAGCTTTTCAAAAGAAATCCTTCAAGGTCTCTTAAACTTGAACGCAGTAAACAAGCGGTTCTTAAAAATGGTTAACGTTTTTTTTTATCTGAATTTAAAGTAGCTTCGTAACTCTAAAAATATTGTTTTTTCACAAAAGTTCAGAATCCACAACTTATTATGCTGAATATTTTGTGGTTTAAAAAATAATGTTTGAAAAACAGTTCTTTCGTGTCATTTGCTTTTCAAGAATCACTTGTTTACTACGTTTAAATTTAAGAGATCTGGAAGGATTTCTTTTAAAAAGCTCAAAACTTTAAAGTATATGTAATTTGATCTTCTCCATAGAGTCTCGATTGAACTTTAAAAAAATTTTCATAACCAGAACTGTGGCATTCCACGTATTTCCTTCAAAAACGTAATTTTTGTGGTATTTTCTCGTGTTTATACCTTTCAAACGAATAGACACTAGGAGCTCATGATTTTCTCATTTTGTCATAGAACGCATGCTTCACAAAGTAATAGATCAGAGAACTCTTTAGAATACTTGATTAAGAAGATATTCCTAAAATACTGAACATTGATTTTGAAAGTTTTCGTTTTGTAAACAAAATATATCTACGTTTTGTTGCTATAGAGTCTTAGAGAACTTTGGGATGCGCCATTTTGTTTACCATGGATTTCTTCGCGAAATGAGACAATCGCTGATCTTGGCCATCTTTTCGTCCGAATAATATATAACGAGGAAAAAATAAGTTCCGATAGACTTCAGGCTACGATGAACGCGATGTACTCTTCAATATGGTAAAGCATAAACAAAAATGTTGAGAAGGAGAATCGCGTCTTAAATTTCAGAATCATGCGCTATGATTAGTTATTTCATTTAGTGAAACACCACTTCATTTTACACAAAAGATTACTCTACTACGCTCAAAATTTGCCAAGAAAAAATATTGGAGACAATATGAAATAAGAACTTACAATAAAAAGTTTTATGTAAGTATAAGTACGCATTTATGACAGTTCTTTCCAGCATGTATAAATAGACATCGCTTTATTAAGAGAAATTCACTTTTAACTTGAGATCATCATTTTGTTCAATTTTTTGCAGAAAAGTCGAGAAACTACATCGCTTTTGGCTAAATCACGTAAAAACAGATGGGCTCAGACAAGAACAGAAAAAAATCTCACATAATCTTTCTTTTGGTCGTAACCGGAGGCCGTATGAAGAAAAGCGAATGATTAAACATGAAAAAAAATCTCGTCACTGCCGTTTTTTGTCTAAATAAAAACAAAAATTCAAGTGATAAGTGACATCATCTTCTTTTAACTGAATGTTGTGTGTACACCTGCTGTAAAACTCACAATTGTTATTTATTTTTAGTATCAACATTTAACGGGTTCAACGGCGGATACATTTCTGGAATATATACAACGAAACTTACCAGAAGGAATTATGATGAATGTTGAAAGAGTAAGTTTGTTGGTGTTATTTTTTTTCTGGTTCTTTTAAGGAAATATATCGAATATGATGTCGTAGTTATGCTTTTCTAACGGGTAGCACAGAATGAATGATGGTCTCAGTACTTTCTATTTTTCTCGTGCTTCTTTAGGATCTTAAGGTTATTGTTTTTTTAAAAGGTGCGCCGCGAAATACTCTACAAAATCATACTTAAACTTTAATTTCAGAACTTCAATCAAGAAAACTATGCAAATCATATGAAAGACGAAAAAAAATGAAAACTTTCTAATGTCAAAAACGATTTCTTGTGTTAACGTTTTGAAAGTAAGAAAATCTGAATCAACCATTATATAGTTCTGACTTCGCTTCATCTTTAAGCTACACTTCATAGTTTTTCCACATCAAAACTCATGGAAAAATAATCATTTTTCTGTCGATTGTCACGCATTTTTTCATTAATGTTTTAAATTCTGGCTATAGGGATGCTTTCAGTAAAACTCCTATAACTCTATCAAATCAAAAGCTTTTTCGATCGGATTTATTTTGTTTTCATCAGAAATGATTGCTCTTCTCTACCTAACTGAAAAATCAAAATGTCGAACATGTTTTCCGTTTCTTGCTTGGGCACATTTGTTGGAAACGCAGGGCTGTCAGTTTTTGACGTATTTTTATAACTTCGTTCTCCAGCACACTATCAGCTCTAAACAAACTTTTTTCAGACTATGAGAAAGAGCACATTCAAAAGTTCAAAAAGAACGATATTATCACTTTTGCTATACTTTTATACGGAACTAATAACAGAAGAAAAAAGTTCAAGTCGAAAAAATATCAAATTTAGAAAGTTTTCATCTTTTTTCGTCTGTCGTATAATCTGCATAGTTTTCTTGATTGAAATTCTGAAATTAAAGTGTTTAAGTATGATTTTGTAGAGTATTTCACGGCTGATCTTTCAAAAAAACAATAACCTTAGAGTCCTAAAGAAACACGAGTAAAATAGAAAATACTGAGACCGCCACCCGTTACAATGACGATGTATGAGTAATATTTTATCTGTGATATAAAATACGTTCATATAGCTCAAGAACTAGGGGTGAGTTTAATTTTTACTGATTAGAAGGTTAGTCGAATAGATATTCTCTTAAAAATATTATGACTAAGTTCTTATTTCTTTTTTTCTGTCTTTCAGGTTCGACTTGAACAATTTCGAGAAAATCTGGTACCACCTTCTTCACGAAATTCCTCCACACCACAACTACAGAATCAAAGCACGACAAGAGACTAAATAAACTTTGTTATTAAATGTTTTTTTCTTTTGGTATTACACGTAGTTGATCGTTGTTATACTTTATAATAAAAATACGACATATTCTCAGTTTTATTTTTATGTTTTTTAGCTCAAATATATTTGATCAATGGATTATCTAACAAAAACAAAGCAGAAGAAAATTGAACAAAATTTTCTCAATAAAATGGTAAAAAATTGAATTTTTCTCATTTTTTGAGGGGATTTTGAAATATTCGAAAAAACTAATAATCAAACTCATTGCTCTTATTAGTCATTTTTACTACATTAATGTTCTCAATTGGTTAACAGGTCTTGTTTTAATCAAAATTATTGATGTTCCTTATATTTATTTTCTTGATAGAGTGAAATTGACATAAAGGTATATTAACAGTCGAAGGATACAGTCATTTATTTCTTTTTTGTTATTCTCATGGCAAACTTGATTTGTTGTTGAATAATAGCAAAATAATAGTAAACGGAAAAAAAAAGAGAAAATATATTTTCTCTAGTATATTTTTAAAAAAAAATATACAAGTATTGTCCTTCTCTGACTCTCTTCGGTATATGCACCTTTACGTTTTCTCCACAGGTGTATATATTGTATTACACAACCAAAATACATGCGGATATGCATCGTTAGATTGTGTATTTGTTATAGTAAAGTAGACATGCGATGATATACGTGTGTTTTTATTAGTACTAAACATTCCTTTTTAAACTACAATGGCTTTAACATTGTTTTTATATCATATAAATCATATTGAAAATATTGGTACTGATGACCAATCAAGTAGTCAAACGGGTTCTGATGTAATTCCTTATTTAAGTGCCAAAGGAACATTTAGAGGTAAATATTATTTTTATTAAAACTTTTTTCCTTCTGAAATGGATGAAAAAATCGCTGTATTTTTACTAGAATTTTCTGATTTGTTTGTCTATGAGTTTTTCTGGAAAATTCTAGTTTTCAACTAATCACATTATGAAAAAATAGTCTACTTGAACTGAAATTGTTTACTTATTGTTACTTTTTATCACTTTTTAAAATAATTTTTCTTTAAATTAGAACAAGTTTACAATATTTGAAATTAGTAGTTCATACTCTTTTTATATTCCTATTTCATAACTTTCGTCTATGCTTTTGTGTTAATCAACATTGACTAAAATAAGAGCATCTAGTTTTGGGCTGTACCAGACTACAGGCTTTTAATGCAAATTATTTCATTTTTTGATCTGTACCATCCAATATTGAACGATAATAACAGCTTTCATTTCTCTGAATAAACAGGTCAGAACTTTCACCATGTGAAACAGTTTCTTCAGAGAAAGGAAAGCTGTTTATCGTTCAATGTTGAATGATATAGATAAAAAAATGAAATAATTGACATTAAAAGTCTATAATTTAGTGCAGCTCAAAACTAGATGCTCTTATTTTAGCCAATGTGAGTTAACACAAAAGCATAGACGAAAATTATGAAATAGGAATATAAAAAGAGTATGAACTACCGATTTCAAATATTGTAAACTTGCTCTAATTTAAAGGAAAAGTGTTTTGAAAGTGAGGAGTTATTTTTGCAAAGTATTATAAAAAATATTTACAATCTGAGATAGGACCTGAAGTATCTAAGATAAAAAATTTCAGTTTAATCCACTTTTTTTCCTCAAGAAGTCACAATGTGACTACTCTCTAAAAAAAAAGGGTTGTGTATGAAACCTAAAAGGGTATAGAGAAGTGCAACCATTTCTAAACCCTTTTAGGTTTCGTAGAAGAAAATGTATGGTTGAAACCCTTTTAAGTGCATTGAAACGATTGATCAGTGTGCATTTACTTATTTCATTATGTTTTTTCCTCATGATTTTCTCGAATGAAAAATCAAAATTTACAGAAGTTTCATGTCTTTTATTTTTTTTGATTCAATTTTTGCCACCCTAAACTATGAAAGTACGTCTAAGCTGTTGAAGTGGTCCACTTGCTCAGAAAAAAGAAAACTAATAGAATTTATGCACTTAAACGGTTTCATATCGCACCTTTTCGTCTACGAAATCTAAAAGGGTTTAGCAATGGTTGTACTTCTTTATACTCTTTTAGGTTTCATACACAAACTTTTCTTTTTTACAGAGTAGGCATGCACCCGTTATAACAGATATATTTCACCTTTTTTTAAATGTATTGCATGAAACCTACGCCTGTTAAAAATTTTCTAACAATTGGGTTTTGTAGAACCCACATTTTTCTACAAGATGAGTCTTGATCCAGTACTTATAAAAAGAAAAAAAGATTTCTTAAGTCACATGATTAGTTAGAATCGACTAAGGGCTCATCGTCGAAAAGTAACTGCAGTAGAGATAAAAAACATGAAGGCTTCCGTCATAGCTCACCTTGTAGAAAAATGTTTACTCTACAAAATCCAGTTATTAGAAAACTTTTAATAAGCGTACGTTTCATGCAGTCTGTTTCAGAAAAAAGGTGAAATATATCGGTTAGAACCGGTGCATGCCTATATGTGACTTACAAATAACATTAGCCTGGATACTTTTTTGGGAGCATTTGCGCTGATACTAATATCGCCATGAAGAAATAGTGAAAAACTGTGAAAGATGTCTTATTAAGAAGAGATTACTCTATCAGATTATAGACAAGAAAAATATTTTCAAGTTGTTGGAAATGAGAGAAAAATTTATAAAACCAAGAAAAAACGAGTGTTTTTAGGCTTTAGAAAAAAAAGTCTTAAAAAGTTCATAACTTTTTCTTCAGAAAAAAGTCATGGAACGCTCGGAGCGGTCTCATCGTGTAGCCTAGACTTCCCACTACATTAAGCTATGTTTACCTCAAAATCGTATTTTTTTTCAAGAGAGAGAGGAGTGTACGCCTAATTTTGCAAGGAATCATTAAACACGATTTTTTATCTTATTATATGAAGCATTTTTCAGTAAGGAAAAGAAGAAACCCCCGCTTTGTTTTGCTTTGCACAGTACAGGACACAATTATATGGAGTCATATAGTCATACAGTATAAAGACAAGTTTCTTTTGTTTTTCTGCTCGAAAATAAGGGCTTGAATAAATGTGAAAGAAAATTTGACTCATCAGAAGTGTTTACAATCGAGAATGATATGAAGAAAATGTCTTTCGAATGTGCTAGAAATTAGGTTCGAAAAATCAAAATTTTCAATATTTTTGTGAACATATTTCAATCAGGGGTTACCGGTCATCGGTATACAAAGATTGGCACTGGTACCGGTCGGTACCGGCTTGTCTTGATCATATTTTGTCTAAATAAAAATAATTTTTCCTTGTTTTTCTTTACTATGAACTTTATTTTATGTTATCAAAGGGGTAGGATTAATCTTTTCACTTTGATTATGTATAACTGATTTTTTTCACACGCTTGTTTTTACGAAAACAGCAATCCAATTCAATATTTCAAATTAAGAAGTTTATATAAGCCGAGAAAGTTTTAGTAATTGGAATGAAATTTTAGTGGAAGAAATATGTCATAGATGAACTGAATTTACACGGTGTTTTTTGAAAAAAATCGTACCGTATCGCAAAATACCAGCAATATCGGCCGACCGATTATACTTCATACTAATGCCGGTATACTGGTCGGCATTATAATTCGTACCGGTACCGGTTCCACCTCTGATCTCAATCGTATAGAGGAAATATTTCTACATAACTCTCGATGACATTTTTTTCAATAAACTGCTCTTAATACACTCAGTCCCGAAAGTAGATTTTTTGTTACTTTCCCTGTGAAGTTTAATGGTCTTGGTCTTTGTGTATTAAATGTAGTTTTTAATGAAAAAGTGTCATGGAAAGTTTAAAGATATGTCATTTTATATTAGAGAAATAAACACTCGGTACAACTGAGATATGTTCACAAAAATATGAAGAATTTTACTTGATTTTGGACAGTTTCATTTTCTCAACTTAATTTCTAGCACGTTCGAGAGATGTTTTTATTTTCTGACACATCACTCACAATTGAAAACACTTTCGATTATTTATATTTTTTATCGAATTTGTTCAAGCAGAAAAATCAAGAGAAAAATCAAGAGCAATCAGTTTCTATAATTTTTGTCCAATTCTGTAACTCAAAAGTGTAAAACATACATTTGTATTCTTTAATGTCAATAACATACTGTTGAAATTTACACCTTTAGCCCGTAAGGGTTTTTTATTTCTTAAATTTTTCAAGAGCTTAATATATCGTCATGTTCTGACATATTTTTGTAAATTATATAGATACAACACTTTACATTTCGAATCATAAAGTGATACAGTAACACTCTAACACCTGTGCATGATATTTTATTACTATTCGCTCTGATTACTATTCAATTTCCACTGTGTAAAACTGAACGCTGAAAAGAAAATGTATTCATTTTTAAATAAATAAATAAATAAAAAAAGAACGTACAAAATGACATAATAATCTAAGTGATACAGTTGAAGAGAGCTTATAATTTGTTGTTATTGTTTTAACATTTTTTAATCTCTTATAACTAATCGATCGAAAGTTTATTATACGAATGTAACCATCATTTGTTCAGTCCATTTGTTCTAGGCAAATAATTATATAGTTTACTTTTACCTCATAATTTATATTTTTCATATCTATCTATTTTTATGAATGAGAAAAAACTGTTCGTCATGTGAGATATCCTTCCTTATTTCTGATTATGAGATATAATCTTGAATGTTTAATGTCTGTAGTAAATTAATTTTTCTCTGTGACGACTGTTAGTAAATGATGAGTTTCGGTTATGAATCTTACGAGGAAAGGTCCCCAAGTGTGCAATCGCTTTTTGCTGTAAATCTAGTAGACAATAGGTAATCGACTGCGCTAAATCCGAATCTGGCATCGATTTGTGCTGCTAGGTCTCCAGAGACTGGGTTTCTGGAAAACCAGTTTTTCAGAAACTCTTAAAAATGACCAAAACCTTTCTTAACGAGGCATGATTGTAGCGCGCAAATTTCTGATTAAAATGAGATATC